ATTACGCAAAGTTGATGGATTTATAGATAGAGCTAGTACATACAATGCCTAAAGCCACTATTACGCAAAGCGTTTCGGGCAGGAAAACACTAAGACTAAAACTTAATACTAATTGAGATTAAAGTATAAATTGTGTTGAGAAAATAAAAAAAGGGGGGGGGGGAACATGGCAGAAAAAGTAGCAAAAATACAATATATATATACAATAAAAGTAGCCAAACAGAATATAGAAAGTTTTGTCAATGTTAAGGGTGAGTTTGTTGGCAGTTAGCCAAAGATGGACTTTATAGCTCAGTAGTCCCTGTGACATTTAGAGCAAGGGGGTCAGGACTGGAGTAAATGAAGGTTGTGTCGTCAGCAAATAGAATTGGTTTGAGGTGTTGGGGGGCATTTGGAAGGTCATTAATGTAGATGAGAAAGAGGAGAGGGCCAAGTATGCTGCCCAGAGGAACACCAATGTTGATGGGTAGGGTGGGAGAAATTGAATTATTCACAGAAGCATACTGGAGCCTGTCAGTAAGGTAAGATTTGAGGTATTGCAGGGAGTGTCCTCTGACTCCATAATGATGTAATTTAAGAAAAAGGTTTTGGTGGTTGACAGTGTCAAAAGCTTTACGCAGGTCCACAAATAACCCAACAAGGAACTCATTTTTATCAAGAGCTGTATGAATCAAGTTAATCATACTAATAAGTGCATCGTTAGTGCTTTTTTTTTTAGATCTGAAGCCATATTGACAAGAGCTAAGTATATTGTGTTTGGCTAGATAAGAGTAAAGCTGCTTGTAGATTAGTTTTTCAAATATTTTTGACGTGTTAGGCAGGATTGATATCGGTCTGTAGTTGTTAACATCTGTGAGATCACCACATTTGTGGACATGGTAGTTGCACCGACAGAAGTAGTTGCACTGCGGTGATTATTTCCTTGTTAGATAACCGGTGGTACTGGAGGGTGCCTTTATGATTACATGATAACGTGAGTGCTATCATAAGTGCCACCTTGATCACGAGGACCTTCATAACATTTTTCTCTTGCAACGTAACTGTTATCATTTTATAATTCTGCTAGAATTTACCTACTTATAATTATCTGTTAGATTAAGGACCTGCCCGAAACGCTGCGCGTACTAGTAGCTTTACCGGGTATGAGAAGATGTGAGGGCATGAAGACAGGTGTCAGTGGGTATGACAGGATGTGAGGGCATGGAGACAGGTGTCAGTGGGTATGACAGGATGTGAGGGGCATGGAGACAGGTGTCAGTGGGTATGATAGGATGTGAGGGGCATGGAGACAGGTGTCAGTGGGTATGACAGGATGTGAGGGGCATGAAGACAGGTGTCAGCGGCTATGACAGGATGTGAGGGGCATGAAGACAGGTGTCAGTGGGTATGACAGGATGTGAGGGCATGGAGACAGGTGTCAGTGGGCATGACAGGATGTGAGGGGCATGAAGACAGGTGTCAGTGGGTATGCCAGGATGTGAGGGCATGGAGACAGGTGTCAGTGGGTATGGTAGGATGTGAGGGCATGAAGACAGGTGTCAGTGGGTATGACAGGATGTGAGGGCATGAAGACAGGTGTCAGTGGGTATGGCAGGATGTGAGGGCATGGAGACAGGTGTCAGTGGGCATGACAGGATGTGAGGGGCATGAAGACAGGTGTCAGTGGGTATGACAGTATGTGAGGGCATGAAGACAGGTGTCAGTGGGTATGACAGGATGTGAGGGCATGAAGACAGGTGTCAGTGGGTATGACAGGATGTGAGGGCATGAAGACAGGTGTCAGTGGGTATGGCAGGATGTGAGGGGCATGAAGACAGGTGTCAGTGGGTATGACAGTATGTGAGGGCATGGAGACAGGTGTCAGTGGGTATGGCAGGATGTGAGGGCATGAAGACAGGTGTCAGTGGGTATGACAGGATGTGAGGGCATGAAGACAGGTGTCAGTGGGTATGGCAGGATGTGAGGGCATGAAGACAGGTGTCAGTGGGTATGACAGGATGTGAGGGCATGAAGACAGGTGTCAGTGGGTATGGCAGGATGTGAGGGCATGGAGACAGGTGTCAGTGGGTATGGCAGGATGTGAGGGTATGAAGACAGGTGTCAGTGGGTATGACAGGATGTGAGGGCATGAAGACAGGTGTCAGTGGGTATGGCAGGATGTGAGGGCATGAAGACAGGTGTCAGTGGGTATGACAGGATGTGAGGGCATGAAGACAGGTGTCAGTGGGTATGACAGGATGTGAGGGCATGAAGACAGGTGTCAGTGGAAATGGCAGGATGTGAGGGCATGAAGACAGGTGTCAGTGGGTGTGACAGGATGTGAGGGCATGAAGACAGGTGTCAGTGGGTATGACAGGATGTGAGGGCATGAAGACAGGTGTCAGTGGGTATGGCAGGATGTGAGGGCATGAAGACAGGTGTCAGTGGGTATGGCAGGATGTGAGGGCATGAAGACAGGTGTCAGTGGGTATGGCAGGATGTGAGGGCACGAAGACAGGTGTCAGTGGGTATGACAGGATGTGAGGGCATGAAGACAGATGTCAGTGGGTATGGCAGGATGTGAGGGCATGAAGACAGGTGTCAATGGGTATGACAGGATGTGAGGGCATGAAGACAGGTGTCAGTGGGTATGGCAGGATGTGAGGGCATGGAGACAGGTGTCAGTGGGTATGGCAGGATGTGAGGCCATGAAGACAGGTGTCAGTGGGTATGACAGGATGTGAGGGCATGAAGACAGGTGTCAGTGGGTATGGCAGGATGTGAGGGCATGAAGACAGGTGTCAGTGGGTATGACAGGATGTGAGGGCATGAAGACAGGTGTCAGTGGGTATGACAGGATGTGAGGGCATGAAGACAGGTGTCAGTGGGAATGGCAGGATGTGAGGGCATGAAGACAGGTGTCAGTGGGTATGGCAGGATGTGAGGGCATGAAGACAGGTGTCAGTGGGTATGGCAGGATGTGAGGGCATGAAGACAGGTGTCAGTGGGTATGGCAGGATGTGAGGGCACGAAGACAGGTGTCAGTGGGTATGACAGGATGTGAGGGCATGAAGACAGATGTCAGTGGGTATGGCAGGATGTGAGGGCATGAAGACAGGTGTCAATGGGTATGACAGGATGTGAGGGCATGAAGACAGGTGTCAGTGGGTATGGCAGGATGTGAGGGCATGGAGACAGGTGTCAGTGGGTATGGCAGGATGTGAGGCCATGAAGACAGGTGTCAGTGGGTATGACAGGATGTGAGGGCATGAAGACAGGTGTCAGTGGGTATGGCAGGATGTGAGGGCATGAAGACAGGTGTCAGTGGGTATGACAGGATGTGAGGGCATGAAGACAGGTGTCAGTGGGTATGACAGGATGTGAGGGCATGAAGACAGGTGTCAGTGGGAATGGCAGGATGTGAGGGCATGAAGACAGGTGTCAGTGGGTATGACAGGATGTGAGGGCATGAAGACAGGTGTCAGTGGGTATGGCAGGATGTGAGGGCATGAAGACAGGTGTCAGTGGGTATGGCAGGATGTGAGGGCATGAAGACAGGTGTCAGTGGGTATGACAGGATGTGAGGGCATGAAGACAGGTGTCAGTGGGTATGGCAGGATGTGAGGGCATGAAGACAGGTGTCAGTGGGTATGACAGGATGTGAGGGCATGAAGACAGGTGTCAGTGGGTATGACAGGATGTGAGGGCATGAAGACAGGTGTCAGTGGGTATGACAGGATGTGAGGGCATGAAGACAGGTGTCAGTGGGTATGGCAGGATGTGAGGGCATGAAGACAGGTGTCAGTGGGTATGACAGGATGTGAGGGCATGAAGACAGGTGTCAGTGGGTATGGCAGGATGTGAGGGCATGAAGACAGGTGTCAGTGGGTATGGCAGGATGTGAGGGCACGAAGACAGGTGTCAGTGGGTATGACAGGATGTGAGGGCATGAAGACAGATGTCAGTGGGTATGGCAGGATGTGAGGGCATGAAGACAGGTGTCAATGGGTATGACAGGATGTGAGGGCATGAAGACAGGTGTCAGTGGGTATGGCAGGATGTGAGGGCATGGAGACAGGTGTCAGTGGGTATGGCAGGATGTGAGGGCATGAAGACAGGTGTCAGTGGGTATGACAGGATGTGAGGGCATGAAGACAGGTGTCAGTGGGTATGGCAGGATGTGAGGGCATGAAGACAGGTGTCAGTGGGTATGACAGGATGTGAGGGCATGAAGACAGGTGTCAGTGGGTATGACAGGATGTGAGGGCATGAAGACAGGTGTCAGTGGGAATGGCAGGATGTGAGGGCATGAAGACAGGTGTCAGTGGGTATGACAGGATGTGAGGGCATGAAGACAGGTGTCAGTGGGTATGGCAGGATGTGAGGGCATGAAGACAGGTGTCAGTGGGTATGGCAGGATGTGAGGGCATGAAGACAGGTGTCAGTGGGTATGACAGGATGTGAGGGCATGAAGACAGGTGTCAGTGGGTATGACAGGATGTGAGGGCATGAAGACAGGTGTCAGTGGGTATGACAGGATGTGAGGGCATGAAGACAGGTGTCAGTGGGAATGGCAGGATGTGAGGGCATGAAGACAGGTGTCAGTGGGTATGACAGGATGTGAGGGCATGAAGACAGGTGTCAGTGGGTATGACAGGATGTGAGGGCATGAAGACAGGTGTCAGTGGGTATGACAGGATGTGAGGGCATGAAGACAGGTGTCAGTGGGAATGGCAGGATGTGAGGGCATGAAGACAGGTGTCAGTGGGTATGACAGGATGTGAGGGCATGAAGACAGGTGTCAGTGGGTATGACAGGATGTGAGGGCATGAAGACAGGTGTCAGTGGGTATGGCAGGATGTGAGGGCATGAAGACAGGTGTCAGTGGGTATGACAGGATGTGAGGGCATGAGGGACGATGCCAACACACACACGAACACAGCCGTGTCCGAGCACAATATAAGCCGTGACGCAGCAGACTCGCCCACCATATAATTCCCACCAAGGCTTCGAAGCTCTTGGAGGATATCACTGTCACGCTCCCATATACTGCGTCTCCGAACTCCTCTCATTCCAACGTGAATATTTCATTTGATTTTGCCACACATATAACCCACACCTGAGGTATCACACCATGTTGCACGTGGACTGTGCAACATTATATCAATATGTACTTCCTGGGATATGTGCATACAACACACAGTCTGGCGTACAGGTATGAGTGAGAAGCTGAGCTACTGCGCTATGCACGCGGTGAGTTGAGAGCTGTATCAGGCGCAGTCAGCGGTGGACCGCGCGCCAGCGAGGCTGATCAGTACCTTGGTGGCTTGGGTAGCGAGTACCACAAGCATCTAAGGTCCACCTCTAAGTCCTCCTTAGGTTCGCTGACAAGCTTCACATCCAAGGTCCACCTCGAAGGTCCACCTCGAAGGTCCAGATTTATGTAAATTTGTTTAATTGTAAGTAGGTTATAATTCTGCCTTAGAGGGTTAGTTTAATGGGTAGCGTCACTCATCCTGTGAGTGGACACACCGCCATAGTGACAGTATTGGGCAGCGCCACTCATCCTGTGAGTGGACACGCCCCCATAGTGACAGTATTGGGCAGCGTCACTCATCCTGTGAGTGGACACACCCCCATAGTGACAGTATTGGGCAGCGTCACTCATCCTGTGAGTGGACACACCCCCATAGTAACGGTATTGGGCAGCGCCACTCATCCTGTGAGTGAACACACCGCCATAGTAACAGTATTGGGTAGCGTCACATATCCTGTGAGTGGATACACCGCCATAGTGACAGTATTGGGCAGCGTCACTCATCCTGTGTGTGAACACACCGTCATAGTGACAGTATTGGGCAGCACCACTCATCCTGTGAGTGGACACACCGCCATAGTGACAGTATTGGGCAGCGCCACTCATCCTGTGAGTGAACACACCGCCATAGTGACAGTATTGGGCAGCGCCACTCATCCTGTGAGTGAACACACCGCCATAGTGACAGTATTGGGCAGAGCCACTCATCCTGTGAGTGAACACACAGCTATAGTGACAGTATTGGGCAGGGTCACTCATCCTGTGAGTGAACACACCGCCATAGTGACAGTATTGGGCAGCGCTACTCATCCTGAGAGTGGACACACCACCATAGTGACAGTATTGGGCAGCGTCACTCATCCTGTGAGTGAACACACCGTCATAGTGACAGTATTGGGCAGCACCACTCATCCTGTGAGTGGACACACCGCCATAGTGACAGTATTGGGCAAAGCCACTCATCCTGTGAGTGAACACACAGCTATAGTTTTTTTATTAGTATTACTCTACCACAGACGTGGCCAGACATTTACAATGGTAACCAGCATATATACATTTTCTTCTGTCCTCCATGGACAATGTTAGAGATGTGTTAAACATATAGTTCAAGGGTTTATTGAACAATCAACCACAGAAGGTGATTCGGTGCTTTTAAAATGCTAAGTTAACCTACATACGTAAATACATAGATACACAGATTTACGTATGCCCTACATAAAGTGTTTGATGTGTCTTTTACATAGTGTCATTAAGATATGTAGTAATTGTATATGCATAGATTATTATTATTAATTTTGAGAATACCCGTAGGAGCTGTGATGAGGAATCGAACCTATGCGATGGGTGTCCCCAGACACACACACTCTAGACAACCCAGGTCTCGACTTGGTGAGAAGAATTGCAACCAGGGGGTACAACTGCACCCTTGAGGGTTGCTGAGGATTCACCAGGGGGGTACAACTGCACCCTTGAGGGTTGCTGAGGATTCACCAGGGGGTACAACTGCACCCTTGAGGGTTGCTGAGGATTCACCAGGGGGTACAACTGCACCCTTGAGGGTTGCTGAGGATTCACCAGGGGGTACAACTGCACCCTTGAGGGTTGCTGAGGATTCACCAGGGGGTACAACTGCACCCTTGAGGGTTGCTGAGGATTCACCAGGGGGTACAACTGCACCCTTGAGGGTTGCTGAGGATTCACCAGGGGGTACAACTGCACCCTTGAGGGTTGCTGAGGATTCACCAGGGGGTACAACTGCACCCTTGAGGGTTGCTGAGGATTCACCAGGGGGTACAACTGCACCCTTGAGGGTTGCTGAGGATTCACCAGCGGGTACAACTGCACCCTTGAGGGTTGTTGAGGATTCCACCGAAGCCGGACCAGTGTTCCATCCCATGCACTCTGATTGCAGGTTGTAATCCTTTTGACCATGTCGTAGTCTAGTCGTCTAGAGGGTGTGCCTGGCAACACCCAGCGCAGGGTTCGAATCCTCATCACGACTTCGATGGATTTTCTCATTGATGCAGTCACACTAGTGTGATTACTCTTTGTGTATTACTATTGTTATTATTATTATTCCTATTATTATTATTATTATTATTATTATTATTATTATTATTATTATTATTATTATTATTGTTATTATTGTTATTATTATTATTATTATTATTATTATTATTATTATTATTATTATTATTATTATTTTATTATTAGTATTATTATTATTATTATTATTTTTATTATTATTATTATTATTATTATTATTATTATTATTATTATTATTTTATTATTATTTATTGTATAAAGAAATAACATTAAGGTGATGTATAATGAGCAAATCAGAAGAAGCCCTGCGGAGGGTTCGAACCTGTACCCAAGGCACTCCTTAGCACACACCTTTGAACACTACACACCTACACTATGATGCTCGTCCTTGGGATGCCAGGATATCCATGACTTCCATGTATCAGGTCGAAGGTCGGTGTCTGTCACCGTTACATTGATGGGAACGTCACCCTGGTGTCTGCTGTTGTATACTTGGTCCAGTACCGTCATCCTGGTGTCTGCTGTTGTATACTTGGTCCAGTACCGTCACCCCGGTGTCTGCTGTTGTACACTTGGGCCAGGACCGTCACCCCGGTGTCTACTGTTGTATACTTGGTCCAGTACCGTCACCCCGGTGTCTACTGTTGTATACTTGCTCCAGTACCGTCACCCCGGTGTCTACTGTTGTATACTTGCTCCAGTACCGTCACCCCAGTGTCTACCGTTGTATACTTGCTCCAGTACCGTCACCCCGGTGTCTACTGTTGTATACTTGCTCCAGTACCGTCACCCCGGTGTCTACTGTTGTATACTTGCTCCAGTACCGTCACCCCGGTGTCTACTGTTGTATACTTGCTCCAGTACCGTCACCCCGGTGTCTACTGTTGTATACTTGCTCCAGTACCGTCACCCCGGTGTCTGCTGTTGTATACTTGGTCCAGTACCGTCACCCCGGTGTCTGCTGTTGTACACTTGGGCCAGGACCATCACCCCGGTGTCTGCTGTTGTACACTTGGGCCAGGACCGTCACCCCGGTGTCTACTGTTGTATACTTGGTCCAGTACCGTCACCCCGGTGTCTACTGTTGTATACTTGCTCCAGTACCGTCACCCCGGTGTCTACTGTTGTATACTTGCTCCAGTACCGTCACCCCGGTGTCTACTGTTGTATACTTGCTCCAGTACCGTCACCCCGGTGTCTGCTGTTGTATACTTGGTCCAGTACCGTCACCCCGGTGTCTGCTGTTGTACACTTGGGCCAGGACCGTCACCCCGGTGTCTGCTGTTGTACACTTGGGCCAGGACCGTCACCCCGGTGTCTACTGTTGTATACTTGGTCCAGTACCGTCACCCCGGTGTCTACTGTTGTATACTTGGTCCAGTACCGTCACCCCGGTGTCTACTGTTGTATACTTGCTCCAGTACCGTCACCCCGGTGTCTGCTGTTGTATACTTGCTCCAGTACCGTCACCCCGGTGTCTGCTGTTGTACACTTGGGCCAGGACCGTCTCCCCGGTGTCTGCTGTTGTATACTTGCTCCAGTACCGTCACCCCGGTGTCTGCTGTTGTACACTTGGGCCAAGACCGTCACCCCGGTGTCTGCTGTTGTACACTTGGGCCAGGACCGTCATCGTAGTGTCTGCTGTGCGCTGGGGACGTGACAGTGAGACAGTCAGGGTGTGGCAGGTCCCCAATGGTTCTGCCTACGAGACAGTCAAAGTATGGCAGGTCTTGAGCGACGCTGTCTTTGAGACAGTTATTGTGTGGCAGGTCATCAGTGACGCTACCTGTGAGGCAGTCATGGAGTGGCAGGTCCCCAACGACGCTGTCTGTCAGACAGTCAGGGGTGTGGTAAGTCCCCAGCGACGCTGCATGTACTCACCTAGTTGTACTCACCTAGTTGTGTTGGCGGGGGTTGAGCTCTGGCTCTTTGGTCCCGCCTCTCAACCGTCAATCAACAGGTGTACAGATTCCTGAGCCTATTGGGCTCTATCATATCTACACTTGAAACTGTGTATGGAGTCAGCCTCCACCACATCACTTCCTAATGCATTCCATTTGTCAACCACTCTGACACTAAAAAAGTTCTTTCTAATATCTCGGTGGCTCATTTGGGCACATTTGGGTTTCCACCTGTGTCCCCTTGTGCGTGTTCCCCTTGTATTAAATAGATTGTCTTTATCTACCCTATCAATTCCCTTCAGAATCTTGAATGTGGTGATCATGTCCCCCTAACTCTTCTGTCTTCCAGCGAAGTGAAGTTTAATTCCCGTAGTCTCTCCTCGTAGCTCATACCTCTCAGCTCGGGTACTAGTCTGGTGGCAAACCTTTGAACCTTTTCCAGTTTAGTCTTATCCTTGACTAGATATGGACTCCATGCTGGGGCTGCATACTCCAGGATTGGCCTGACATATGTGGTATACAAAGTTCTGAATGATTCTTTACACAAGTTTCTGAATGCCGTTCGTATGTTGGCCAGCCTGGCATATGCCGCTGATGTTATCCTCTTGATATGTGCTGCAGGAGACAGGTCTGGCGTGATATCAACCCCCAAGTCTTTTTCCTTCTCTGACTCCTGAAGAATTTCCTCTTCCAGATGATACCTTGTATCTGGCCTCCTGCTCCCTACACCTATCTTTATTACATTACATTTGGTTGGGTTAAACTCTAACAACCATTTGTTCGACCATTCCTTCAGCTTGTCTAGGTCTTCTTGAAGCCTCAAACAGTCCTCTTCTGTTTTAATCCTTCTCATAATTTTAGCATCGTCTGCAAACATTGAGAGAAATGAATCGATACCCTCCGGGAGATCATTTACATATATCAGAAACAAGATAGGACCGAGTACAGAGCCCTGTGGGACTCCACTGGTGACTTCACGCCAATCAGAGGTCTCACCCCTCACCTTAACTCTCTGCTTCCTATTGCTTAGATACTCCCTTATCCACTGGAGCACCTTACCAGCTACACCTGCCTGTCTCTCCAGCTTATGTACCAGCCTCTTATGCGGTACTGTGTCAAAGGCTTTCCGACAATCCAAGAAAATGCAGTCCCCCCAGCCCTCTCTTTCTTGCTTAATCTTTGTCACCTGATCGTA